TGATTGTTGATTATTCCAGGCTCGCACCAACGATATTCCTGTGTAGCGTTGGGGTGGGTCTGAGGTGATGTGATATTATGCTTGTTGATTATTTCCAGGCTCGCACCAGTGAAATTCCTGTGTAGCACTGGGGTGAGTCTGAGGGGGATAGTGAAAAGTTGTACGTAAATGATTTGGTGAACAATCGATTATCCGAGAATATGAACCTTGACTCTAGTGAGATGTGAACTAGTGAGTTGTGGTAGGATGGCTAGTTGTGTTCTTTTCATACATAGATTGGAGTCAATATTTAATTATCTACAATTTGAGACATATGGTATATACATGAGGGTTTCCTTGTTTGGATTATTTCGCTCGACGTACTACGTCTCTTGTTGTAGATTCTTAATATTAATTCCATCTATTGTATGATCTTATTGTTTGGATGGTTTCTGATTACTACCTGCATGATCTTGTCACTTGGTTGATTTTTGGATTCGTCTGATTATTAGTATTCCAGTTGCACGCCTCTATTGTTATTACTATCATCACATGTTCTATTTCTATTTCTGTTATAGCATTGACCATACATATATTATCATTATCGTTATTGTATTTGTTGCCTTGGGGGATCTTGCCGTGTGTTTCACACGCTGACGTACTCCTATTTTCTGGGTGTACGTCAGATTTAGGAGATGAGCAGCCTCAGTACGGGATCGTACAGGAGCCAGAAGATTCTTAGCAGGGGTGTCTTGCAGAAGGAGTAGAAGAACCAGCTGAAGCGTAGTGATTTTCTTCTGTAGTAGTAGTTGGATATTAAAACTCTTTTACCGCACTTTTCTTTAGTTTGATGATAGATTTAGTTATTTTATCTCCTTTTATTATGGACTATGTATTCCTTATTTCCTAGTTGAACAGTTGTTGTAATAATGGTACGTTTGACCCATATTTTATGTCTGGGATGATTTACCATTGATGATATGTCTATTTTTATTCTGGGTTGTCTTTATATTCTTGCTATGTGTGATCGGGGACCTGTGACTTCGTTTGTATTTCTTGACGCTTAGCGTATTAGATTGAGAAGACGGGGTCTACCACTTATCTCTTCTCAGTTTAATACGTCGCGGGCTTGTTCGCGTTCCGATTCCCCGGTATTTTGGGAAGCGGGGCGTGACAGGTTTTTTTGGTGGCCCATGCAGGTCACGGTCCCGAGTCATCACTAGTAAGAATATGGTAGACAATTTAGATACATATCATATTTCATCCGTGAGACTATCCTTGAGCCCTTATCCTATTTTCTTGATAGATTTCCTTTCATCCCTACCTTATCACTTTTGACTCCGGAACTTTCCACTGATTCTTATCTCTTAACTTTCCATTGTTTATGTTTCTTGTCTCATCTGTCTATGGATATCATTCCCTATCTATCCCTGGGGTTCTTATTTTAATTCCGAGGGCGGAATTTGTTTTAAGGGGGGTAGAATGTAATGACCGTAAAATTTTGATATTAGTTAAAATAAATTTTTGGTATTTTAAAATATTTAATTATGATTTTTAAAAGAGTATTTGTATTTT